AAGTCCAGATCGCCCTCCAGGGAATGGGTATGGTGCGATCGTGGAAGTCCTCATTGTGCTCCAGCGAGGATTCGATGTACTTGCACTCGGCCTCGCCAATGAATCGGGACTCTGTGGCGTTGTTGGAGGCGAATATCAGCCAGAGGAAGCACCAGGCGGCGCAGAGGGCTCCAGACACATAGGATATGCCCGGCCAGCCCAGCGCTCCCTTGGCAATCATGCCACTTATGAACATGGCCAGTACAGTGCCGCAATCCGTGCCCGTGTAGCTGAAGGCGCCCAGGCGGTTCCTCTCCTCCGGTGGCGACCACATGGCCAGGTGCTCGGTGACGCAGGGAAAGATCACGCCCTGGAACAAGCCCTGCAGAATGCGGATGGCGCAGAACACCTGCCATCCTCCCCAGGTGAGGCACCACGGGGTCATCAGACTGAACACGGCAGTGCCACAGCTGGCCACAAAAAGGACCACTTTGGCGCCGTAGCGACGACACAGGAAGCTGCCAGGACACAGGGTCAGGATGTAGCCCCAGTAGAAACTGGAGAGTATGTACGACTTTTGTTTCAACGTCCATTCGAACTCCTGCGAGGGAGAATGGCCACGTCAGCTAGGTTGTACCTTGCGCAGAGAATATCACTTGAAGCTTACCGGAAAATTGGGATTCGTGGTGGCCGCATTAGTCATGGCCACAATGGCCACACTCACATTCAGCCGGGCGATGTGCATCACGGTCAGGCCGAGAAAGAGCAGGAACGACTGCAGATGTCGCACGCCCAGACGAGGCCCCTTGCACGGTTTGTGGGTCATGATCACCAAGTTAGTCCAGTTAGCTACCCAGGTCTGCACTGCTAGATGGGCGGAATGGTTCTAAGCCCAGTCGCCCTTGTATTGCCAACATTTATACGACAGCGGAAAGCTTTGAAAGCTTGGGCCGACCCGCACGGCGATATCATTCACCCACATATCTCTAGGCCCGGGGACTCGCATGTGAGTCCCCAGAGAGATGGTTCTGGGACAAACAAGATCGACGATCGGAGACACTTTGACGCAACTCCTCGTTCCAGAAGTCGACTGACGTAGCGGACCCATTGTTGTACGATCCGCTGGCGGGTGGAGAAAGCATATGCATATGTTCCTACGTATTATCAGTAAATATTGATGGATTTACACAAAGTGGTGGCTAAAAAATAAGCACTCCCACCCAACACTCGACTTTAGCCAGAGACGTGTTTATTTGCCCAAAAGATTTATGACACGATTAGCAACAAAAGTTTTTGCCCGCCAGGCCTGAAGCCGTGGAAAAAGCAAATCCGATCCACTAAAAGCTCAAAACGGAAAGCGGAAAGAGGCAACTCTACTCGATAGAGCCGCCATAAATGAATGAGTTTATTTATTTTTTTGGAATAGTATTCTTTATGGTCGCAATCAGGTCGAAACAATGGAACGCACCTGATAAGCGATGCTACCAGTTAAATAAATAATCAACTAATCGATACTGTACCGAGCCACACAGTCGAGGTATTTATAATATTTCTGTCAATTTATTGAACTTTATTATTTTAAAGAAAACTCTAATCTCAACCATCACAATCTCGAGTGATTCCCCTAGCTTGAGTGTTCTTTGAGCCAAAGCTAAGTAGAGTCCATTTGAGATTACCAGAAGAGCTTTAGTTAGCTGCTCAGGGATACCAGAGCTTTACCCCACAGATCTTAGCAGAAGAATTGAAAATTGGGTTTCCATCCATTCTGAACGATGAGTAACTTCCTCGAAGTGGGAGCCATATGGGTCACGCCTTAAATTGTTGTTCCAAGAGAAAACATAAAGGTGTGGCAATGAATGTCATTTCCGAATCATTTAGTGATACTGTGGGCATTGCCAATTATTATCACAAAATCATTGGGCGAGATCGTTATGCGTAAGATACTATTTTTAGGTCTTCAGAAACGTCATCTTAAATGCAGAACTAAGTGCTGTATAATTCAGACTACATGCGGCGGTAATTAAGGAAATTATAATCACAAGAATATATTGTTGTTTGGTCTATATTGATCTATATTGTTGAAAAAGCAAAACACTAAAAGCTGACTAGCTCTTGAGACCGCGCACTTTTAATTAACAATATTTAGTTATGTAGTACTCAATTGCCTTTGCAAAATCTAAAGCATTACTTATTTGGAGAGCCAATTATAGATAAAGAATTGTTTGCTATCTTCAACCATTGCTAGTACTTGACTTGTAGACAACTAAAGTGCACGAATATAACCAAAACGCTAATCTGTTAATTAGATTTTCATAACTTATATCTACCCTGAGGGGCCTTTAAAATCAATGCATGTTAGGAATTTAATGATTTTACTATTCAATTTATGTTTGGAGTTATCGTTACTTTGTAAGGTTTATGGGAAAGTTCCGGGCTCTTCAACTGGAGATAGTCCTCGGCATCCCAGGGCTGAGTTACAGCCGTGCCAAACACCAAGTAAATGCAGTTGCCCACAAAGAAGATTACGGCGGCAATGATGAATACGATCTGCCATTGCGAGCGATCAGACTGAAAGGAAAGGATACAAACCGTAATTAAAAATCTTCACTACTAACCAGCTTTTGCCAGCACTCACATTATCCTCTACAATCCATCCAACCACCAGGGGAGTGGCAATGGGCACAAAATTCGCCGCTGTATTTACAATTCCCATTAGAATGCTGGCATGATTTTTCGACAGATCAATGGTGTTTAAAACACTGCCAATGGTTTGAGCACTGTTCACGCCCACACTGATGGTCATCAAAGCGATCGCAAAGTTCTTTTGATCCTTGTCCAGGAAGCCAATGCCCACCAAGGTGGCGGCAGGTATCCAGAAGGCAATCGAGTTGTAGGTCTTCCTCAAAACCGTCAAGGAAACCGAGCTCTTGCCCAAGAACACTTCGGCTGTGATTAGGTATATATACGACATGCACCACATGGCCAGGAACGGGAGTGCCGAGAAGAACGCATTGCTCTTCATGTCCATGTCGAGGACTCCGTTCATGTAGGATGGGATCTCGGCCTGCAGAGTGCTCAGTCCCCAGTTCTCACAGCATCGCACTATGAGCAGGGCCAGGAATGGTGCCGATGTCATAATTGCCATCCAGGGAATGGGGATAACGGTGGCGTGGTATGACTCATTGTGCTTTAGAGACGACTCAATATATTGCAGTTCTTTCTCTCCAATGAAACGAGATTCCGTGGGATCGTTGGCTGCGAGGAGAAACCACAATGCACACCAGAAGAAGGCCACTCCAGCGGACACATATGAGATTCCAGGCCAGCCCAGTGAGCTCTTGGCTATCATTCCGCTGAGGAACATGGCACTCACATTGCCGCACTCGATACCAGTGTGGCTGAGTGCCCCCAGCCGATTTCTTTCCGCCGGAGGAGACCATTTGGCCAGGTGCTGATGAATGCAGGGGAAGATCACTCCCTGGGCCAATCCCATGAGCACTCGAATTCCGCAGTAGGCCTGCCATTCGCCAAATCCGATGAAGAGCGGGGTCAAAGCACTGCAGACACCAGATCCGAAGACACCCCAGAACATTACACTCTTGACTCCAAAGCTCTTGCACAGATAACCGCCTAGAAACTGGGTGAAGATGTAGCCCCAAAAGAAACTGGACAGTATGTACGATTTCTCCGCCTCCGTCCAGTCGTATTCCTAGGAGAGACGCTGATGAGTTAAGGGGAATTTTCTTGGCAGGAACCCTATTCTTACCGGAAAGTCCGGGTTCGTGGTTTCCGCATTGGTCATTGCCACCACAGACACTCCCACATTAAGGCGGCCTATGAATATTGTAGTTATGTTGAGGAAGATCAGTAGGGCCTGGACATGCCGCATTCCCAGAACAGGTCCTGCAATAAGATAACGAACTGGTATTATCGCTGCTACTTCCCGTCTACAAGCAGTTGGGCAAATAAATCTGAGTTGCTCTTGAGACTTCGTTATCGCGTCATTATTGGAGTAATTTATGACCATTCAATGCGCGTGCGGAAAGTCTAGAAGTTTTCCAGACGGAGTGCAAGGTCTGATCCGTGAAGGGCGTTGGAATTGTGTCATCAAGGGGTGTCATCTCATTCACAAACTCTTATCCGAACCGGAGGATTTGCTCACACACACCTTTGTTCGTCTCGGCCGACATTTTCGATTTGGTCAACAAAACACTTCCTCACTTCTTTCACACGACCGATCGGAATCACTGTGGGAAGTTGAGTGAGTGAGCCCACGAACATGGAATGAATTTAAATCCAAATTGAATTAGCCGATAAGCCGAATTCGGCTTATCTGATACAACTCAAGTGATAAGGTCAAACAGCGGGCGAATTTAGCCATTGAGTTAACATTCTTTATAAAATGAAGGTTGTACCTCTCCAAAAGCGCCAATTAGAATGTTGGTAAATAGTTAATTAATAAATCATAAGGGAAACATTTGTTTCTGCAAACCTCATAAGGATTCTATCACGATTTGGTTATAAAAGCCACAAAAGTAACACAGAAGCACAAAATGCATTGCTCCTTAGGGCCATATTGAGAGCCCCTTTTGGATAGGTGGGCATTTCGGCCTTCAGAGTACTTAGCCAAGAACGAGCTCTAATCGAACCTTTACTCATGTATATCTCGATGCAGATATCAGTTCATTTTCTACTGTTAAACGAGATACTCTGATGAATAAAACTAACCATAAAGATTAGGGACAGCAGTAGCATTTCCATTACCGGTTCACCAAATAAAGTGTTACAATCAAGAGCAGTTCTTGCCATTAAATAGTTGGACTCGCCATAATAGAAGTGATTTATGGCCACGGCAGTTAACTTCTGACGATACGTGATAAGAACAAATCGCTGAAAAATTTTAAATCAAACACATGAAATGTTTACGTTTAATAAAGAAACGTAACGTACTGATTTAGATTTACGTCGAATTACATTTAATAATAATCTCAGACTTAAATGCTATCGATCTGGTGCGACTTCTACATCAAGGACTTCTTGGGAGAGCCGTCAATACCTTTACCAGTTTCATGGATAGATGGAGTTATAGTTAGTTTTGGTTCCTTAACTGTGAGGTAGTCTTCAGCATCCCAGGGCTGGGAAACAGCCGTTCCAAAACACAAGAACACGCAGTTTCCGATAAAGAGGAGTACTGCCGCGATTATAAACACTATCTGCCACTCAGCACGGTTATTCTGAAATGAAACATGATAGAATTACCCGACTATCAGATACCCGTTTCTCAGCTAGTGGAGCTAGTGCAAACGAGAAATTTAAACATTTTCTGGAATATCTGTAGAAATTGGGTGAAAAAATTAAAATGAAATAAAACTTAAATCTTTTTAAAAGTGTGGCGTGGTGTTGCGAAGTGTTGCACATCTATAGAAATTTTCAAGATATATAGGTGTTTAAAATAAAATACATTTCAAAATCCCATTAAGATAAGTATAGTTATGGAGTTTATAACTTCAGCCTTAGGGCATTTTTTCATTTTTTTTGGATTTCTTCAACATTATACATCAGAAAAATTACAAAAAAATTAAAAAAAAAATAGATTTCTATATTTTAATGGAGATTGTTAGAGAATTGCGCAAGAAACATTTAGAGGTATGCCGCTTCAAAATCCGATGAAGATAAGTTGAGTTATGAAGTATAGAACTTCAGCCTTAGGACATTTTTTCATTTTTTTTGGATTACTTCAACCATCAAACATCAGAAAAATTACAAAAAAATTAAAAAAAAATAGGTTTCTATATTTGAATGCAGATTTTTTGAGAATTGCGTCAGAAACATTTAGAGGTATGCCACTTCATAATCCAATGAAGATAAGTTGACTTATGGAATTAAGAACTTCAGCCCTGAGACATTTTTGAGTTTCCACAACATCATCCACATCAGAAAAGTTACAAAAAAACTAAAAAAAAATAAATTTCTAAATTTGAATGCAGACTTTTAGAGAATTGCTCCAGAAACATTTAGAGGTATGCCACTTCAAAATCCGATTAATATAGCCTGAGTTATAGACTTTAGAACTTCAGCCTTGCGACATTTTTGAGTTTCCACAACATCATCGCATCAGAAAAGTTACAAAAAAACTAAAAAAAAATAAATTTCTAAATTTGAATGCAGATTTTTAGAGAATTGCACCAGAAACATTTAGAGGTATGCCACTTCAAAATCCGATTAATATAGCCTGAGTTATAGACTTTAGAACTTCAGCCTTGCGACATTTTTGAGTTTCCACAACATCATCGCATCAGAAAAGTTACAAAAAAACTAAAAAAAAATAAATTTCTAAATTTGAATGCAGATTTTTAGAGAATTGCACCAGAAACATTTAGAGGTATGCCACTTCAAAGTCCGATTAAGATTAGTTGAGTTATGGAGTTTAGAACTTCAGCCTTGGGACATTTTGAGCTTCCACAACATCATCACATCAGAAAAGTTACAAAAATCATTACATCAGAAAAATTGAAAAAAAATATATTTCTAAATTTGAATGCAGATTTTTAGAGAATTGCGCCAGAAACATTTAGAGATATGCCACTTCAAAATCCGATTAAAATAATTTGAGTTATGGAGTTTAGAAACTCAGCCTTGGGACATTTTTTCATTTTTTTGGATTTCTACAAATCATTACATCAGAAAAATTGAAAAAAAATTAAAAAAAAAATAGATTTCTATATTTGAATGCAGATTTTTAGAGAATTGCGTCAGAAACATTTAGAAGTATGCCACCTCAAAATCCGATGAAGATGAGTTGAGTTATGGAGTTTAGAACTTCAGCCTTAGGGCATTTTTTCATTATTTGGATTTCTTCAACATTATACATAAGAAAAATTACAAAAAAATAAAAAAAAATAGATTTCTAAATTTGAATGCAGATTTTTAGATAATTACGCAAGGAGGAAACATTAGGAGGTATGCCACTTCAAAATCCGATGAAGATAAGGTATATAAAAAGTAAAAGAATATCACATTTCTCAGAAGTGTGGGCGTAACAGTTTTTCTCGTTTTATGGTCGAGCCAAAAAGTTGGCCCTCTCTCTGCGCTTCTCAAACTGGCTACCTAAGCTGCCATCGAACGCACCGAGATTTCGAAGAGCCCTCCTCTGCGCTTCTCAAATGGGCTACCTAAGCAGCTACCGAAAAACCCGAGTTTTCGAAGAGCCCTCCTCTGCGATTCTCAAACGGGCTACCTAAGCTGCTGCCGGAAAAAACTTCGAGTTTTCGAAGAGCCCTCCTCTGCGCTTCTCAAACGGGCTACCTAAGCTGCTGCAGAACTTCGAGTTTTCGAAGAGCCCTCCTCTGCACTTCTGAAATGGGCTAGCTAAGCAGCCATCGCAAAAATCCGGCTGATGTACGGCATCCGGATAGTTAAGTAGCTGGAGGCTAAAACCACAGTGCTGCCAATAGCGGGTGAGTCAAAACATTTAGAACAATATAACAGGTGATACAGCAATCAAAAGGTTACGCAGAAACTAAACTGAAAAAGATTTTGATGAAATTATAGGATTCAGGAAGAAAGTGATATCACAACTTTCGTATGAAAAGTCAGTAGTTTTTACCTTGTTAAGAGGTGATAAACACTAACAGTCAAAACTTACGTCTTCATGAACAATAACTCCAACAACCAGAGGGGTTACTATCGGCACTACAGTTACAACTGTATTCACGATTCCCATAAGAATACTCGCATGATTCGGGGATAAATCTATGGTGTTGATGGAGGAACCAATTGTTGCTCCACTGTTGACACCGACACTTATGGTCATCAAAGCAATGGCCAGGTTCTTCTGGTCCATATCCAGAAATCCGATTCCAATCAATGTCGCACTAGGAATCCAGAAGGCCAACGAGTTGAAAGTCTTTCTGAGGGCCGTCAAACTAAGTCTGTTACCGGCCAGCAAAACATCGGCCGTTATCAGGTACACATACGACATAATCCACATAGCCAAAAATGGTAACGCCGAAAAGAATGCATTGCTTTTCATGTCCATGCCCAGAACGCCGTTCATATAGGTTGGGATCTGAGCCTGCAGGGTACTCAGACCCCAGGTCGCGCAACATCGCACAACTGTTAGAGCAAGAAATGGTGCCGAGGTAAAAATCGCCATCCAGGGAACAGGAATGACGGTCTTGTGATGATTCTCACTGTGCTTCAGGGATGATTCAATATAGTGCAGCTCTGCCTCGCCTATGTAACGAGATTCCACTGCATTGTTGGCAGCGAAGATGAACCAAAAGGCACACCAGGCGAAGGCCAATCCCGCGGAGACGTACGATATTCCTGGCCAGCCAATGGCACTTTTGGCTATCATTCCGCTCAGAAACATTGCACTCACATTGCCGCACTCCATTCCACTGTGACTGAGAGCCCCCAGCCGATTTCTTTCCGCCGGAGGTGACCATTTGGCCAGGTGCTGATGAATGCAGGGGAAGATCACTCCCTGGGCCAATCCCATGAGTACTCGAATTCCGCAGTAGGCCTTCCATTCGCCAAATCCGATGAAGAGCGGGGTCAAAGCACTGCAGACACCAGATCCGAAGACACCCCAGAACATTACACTCTTGACTCCAAAGCTCTTGCACAGATAACCGCCTAGAAACTGGGTGAAGATGTAGCCCCAAAAGAAACTGGAGAATATGTACGACTTCTCCGCCTCCGTCCAGTCGTATTCCTAGGAGAGACGCTAATGAGCTAAGGGGTATTTTCTTGGCAGGAACCCTATTCTTACCGGAAAGTCCGGGTTCGTGGTTTCCGCATTGGTCATTGCCACCACAGACACTCCCACATTAAGGCGACCTATGAATATTGTAGTTATGTTGAGGAAGATCAGTAGGGCCTGGACATGTCGCATTCCCAGAACAGGTCCTGCAATACCATAACGAACATAACATAACGTATTATCGCTGCTACTTCCTGTCTACAAGCAGTTGGGCAAAAAAATCTGAATTGCTCTTGAGACTTCGTTATCACGTCATTATTGGAGTAATTTATGACCACTTAATACGCGTGCGGAAAGTCTAGAAGTTTTCCAGACGGAGTGCAAGGTCTGATCCGTGAAGGGCGTTGGAATTGTGTCATCAAAGGGTGTCATCTCATTCACAAACTCTTATCCGAACCGGAGGATTTGCTCACACACACCTTTGTTCGTCTCGGCCGACATTTTCGATTTGGTCAACAAAACACTTCCTCACTTCTTTCACACGACCGATCGGAATCACTGTGGGAAGTTGAGTGAGTGAGCCCACGAACATGGAATGAATTTAAATTCAAATTGAATTAGCCGATAAGCCGAATTTGGCTTATCTGAAACAACTCAGATGATAAGGACATAAAGCGTGCCAATTTAACCATTGTATTAACCAGCGGCATAAAATAAATGTTGCACCTTTCTAAAAGCAATAATTAGTTATTAGTTAGGATGTCTGTAAGAACTCAAACAATATATCACTGGGAAATATCGTTCTTTACAATTCCTAAGCAAAATCCAGGCACGATTCGGTGATACATCGATTCCACATAAGCGACATGGCCAATTATGGTAGCCATTGGCATGTGATTAGGACTAATTGCTGAAAAATTGTAGTTCAAATACACCAAATGACGTTTAATGAAGAAACGAAACGTCTTATAAAATTGAACAATAACAATCCTTTTTATTTTGATTTTTTCGGTATTTATTTAGTACCTATGTATACTGGAGGCTTAAATGCCATCGATCTAGTGCGACTTCTACATCAAGGACTTCTTGGGGGAGCCATCAATACCTTTACCAGCTATCCGTGAAAGCTGGAGTTATATTATGTTCTGGTTCCTTAACTGCGAGGTAGTCTTCAGCATCCCATGGCTGGGAAACAGCCGTTCCAAAACACAAGAACACGCAGTTTCCGATGAAGAAAATGACTGCCGCGATTATAAACACTATCTGCCACTCAGCACGGTTATCCTGAAACAGAGAACAGTATATTATTATAACGACTTTTTTTTTATAAGCTTTAAAGGCGAAACTTACGTCTTCCTGAACAATCCAGGCAACTATTAGAGGGGTAACTATGGGCACTACATTTGCAGCCGTGTTCACTATTCCCATAAGAATACTCGCATGATTTGGAGATAAATCTATGGTATTCAAGGAGGAACCAATTGTTGCTCCACTGTTGACACCAACACTTATGGTCATCAAAGCAATGGCCAGGTTCTTCTGGTCCATATCCAGAAATCCGATTCCAATCAAAGTCGCACAAGGAATCCAGAAGGCCAACGAGTTGAAGGTCTTTCTGAGGGCCGTCAAGCTAAGTCTGTTTCCGGCAAGCAGAAAATCAGACGTTATCAGGTACACATACGACATAATCCACATGGCCAAAAATGGTAACGCCGAAAAGAATGCATTGCTTTTCATGTCCATGCCCAGAACGCCGTTCATATAGGTTGGGATCTGAGCCTGCAGGGTACTCAGACCCCAGGTCTCGCAGCAACGCGTTACTATAAGAGCAAGGAATGGTGTCGAGGTGAAAATCGCCATCCAAGGAACGGGAATGAGGGTCTTGTGATAGTCCTCACTGTGCTCCAGGGACGATTCGATATAGTGAAGCTCTGCCTCGCCTATGTAACGAGATTCCAATGCATTGTTGGCAGCGAAGATGAACCAAAAGGCACACCAGGCGAAGGCCAATCCCGCGGAGACGTACGATATTCCTGGCCAGCCAATGGCACTTTTGGCTATCATTCCGCTAAGGAACATGGCACTCACATTGCCACACTCGATGCCTGTGTGACTGAGGGCTCCCAGGCGATTCCTCTCCGCGGGCGGTGACCATCTGGCCAAGTGCTGATAGATGCAGGGAAAGATCAGGCCCTGGGCACAGCCCATCAGGACCCGAATACCGCAGTAAGCTTGCCATCCGCCAAAGCTGATGAAGAGCGGGGTCAAGGCGCTGAAGACACCTGATGCAAAGGAGCCGCAGAACAGGACACTCTTGACTCCATAACGCTTGCACAGATATCCTCCCAGGAACTGGGTGATGATGTATCCCCAAAAGAAGCTGGATATTATGAACGACCTCTGGGTCAAACTCCAATCGTATTCCTGAGAAATACAGTGATGAAAGTTATTGAGTGAAGACTGTGTGACTCACTGGAAAATGCGGATTAGTAGAGTCGGCATTCGTCATCGCCACCACGGATACGCCCACATTCAGTCGACCGATGTACAAAATCGTGATGTTGAAGAAAATCAACAGGGTTTGAACGTGTCGCATTCCCAGTAGGGGTCCTGCAATCATTAAGAAAAATCCTTCGTATTTCGTTTGCAACTAGTCACCATAAAAATGTAATAAATCACATCCTGTTTGCCAAGTGGTCAAACACCCTGCAACTACTATCGATTAAAGTCCATCTATTACTTCGAACAGCTCACATTTACATTTACCCGAATTTAAAAGAATACATTCCTTCCATACCTTTATTTATTTCAGCTGTCATCCTTGCAGTGTAGGTGGACGATTGACCTTATGCCTCCAAAATGGCAGAATAGAATGGAATTGAACTCGAGTCAATCGCACCCTGCCGCGATTTTAATCGTGCGAGTTGATTATCAACTTTCCAGCTAATCAGGCTGATTATCCTGTGATAAGGCTCAAACGCGTACGTGTTAACACAAATAGTTCATGTGAATTCTTATGAGAATGTGGCACGCGATTGGGATCATGGTGGAAATTAAAATGCCGTTTGTTATTCCAAGATTAGAAAATCTAAATTGCAGATAAACGAAATCTAATACCTCCGGTAATAAATTATATTTACCACATTATAATCGCGGACTCATAATCAACGTTTAAATCTAAAAAACTGACCTAGTACAATGTGGATTTTGATTAGGTGGTATCTGTAGCTGTGGCATGTCTAGGAAGCGAGAACTCTAAGGTCATAATTGTGCTATTGATATTGGAGCAATACTTTCACTGGTAGCGATAATCCCACGTACTTATCAATAGTACAACTGCTACGCATTGCCCTCTTATCGAACTTCAAGTTGCTGGTAGTTGAAACACATGTCAAACTAATTGGAGAAGAGATCGATCTTATTTCCACACAATACACACGTCAATTGCCTATTTACGATCAGCACTCCGAAGTTCTTATAGTAATCAGCCTTCATTGATAAAGAATTGACATGATGCCTTGGTGGGCCTGTTTCCCAAATTTAAATCGACAAGGTCGTGGGATCATTCAAGTATAGTTTCTATATTTACATCTTAAAATACTCATTGGAAACACAATTGACTTATTTAAAGCTACTTCGGACCAGCCGTTGCTAAAATTCCTAGGGATTTCGAGGTATAGGGTATTAAGTTATCCTATGACATCAAATTTCGTCCTTGCTGCTTAATTTTCCGTAGTACCCTCGTTTTCATTGGATTCACTCTTAGCTGAATCAGCTTCACTTTCCTTGCGCTTCGCTTCCTCCACTTTCTCACTACGCTGTGCCTCCAGAGCCTTGGAAAGTCCCACCTCTTGAAGATTGGCGGATCGTTGCTTATCCATAAAGTCGGGTGCATCCCAGGGCTGACTAACCATCTGGCCAAAGACTACGTAGATGATGTTGCCCACACAAAAGATGATGGCGGATATAATAAACACAATTTGCCACTGCTCCCGATCGCCCTGGTAATCAAATAATCAAAAGATTCAGACAGTTGAGTCATTTACTCTGTGGGGGAACTCCATTTATACTCACTTCATCCTTGACGATGATGCCCACAAGAAGAGGCGTCAAAATGGGCACAGTGTTCGATGCCGTATTTGAAATTCCCATGAGAATGCCAGCATGATTGGGGGACAAGTCGATGGTGTTTATGGTACTACCAATGGTGGAACCAGCGTTTACTCCCACATTGGCGCACATCAGCACAACGGCCAGGGTCTTCTGGGTACTGTCCAGGAAGCTAACTCCAATCAGAGCTGCAGCGGGCACAATAAACGCTATAGTGTTCACGCTCTTGCGAATGCCAGTGATGGACATGATGCCCCTGTTCAGCAGGATATCCGCGATGATCAGGTACACAAAGGCCATAATCCAGGATGTAAAATATGGAAGGGCGGAGTAAAGAGCATTGCTCTTCATGTCCATCAAAAGCACACCGTTCATATAGGCTGGCATCTCGGTCTGGAGGGTGGAATATCCCCACGACTGACAGCACCTGGTGACTATCAAGGCCCAGAAGGGAACTGATGTCCAAATCGCCCTCCACGGCACCGGAATGGGTCCAGTGGCCTTTAGCTCTGCCTCCTCCGCCTTGCGACTGGAGTTGATCGAGGTCTCAATGTAGTTCAGTTCCGCTTCGCCGATGAACTTGGATTCCCTGGGATGGTTGGCTCCGAAAATCCACCAGACGATGCACCATATAACGCCCATGCCGCAGGAGACGTAGAAGATGCCGGGCCATCCGATGCTCGAGGCTGCCAATAATCCACTCGCAAACATGGCCACCAAGGTACCGAAATCAATACCCGTGTTCGCCAACGCTCCCAGCCGGTTTCGCTCGTTCACTGGACACCAGTTCGCCAGGTGGGCGTGAATGCAGGGGAACAGGAAGCCCTGGAACAGGCCCATGGACATGCGAATGGCACAATACGCTTGCCAGCCGCCCCAGGAAACGCACCATGGGATCAGGACAACCATTAGGGCTGACCCAATGGTGGACACGAACATCGTTATCCTGGCTCCATAGCGCCTGCACAGCCATCCTCCTATGAACTGTGTCATTATGTAGCCCCAGAAGAAGCTGGACAGGATGTAGGATCGCTGCATTTCGTTCCACTCGTACTCCTATGGAAATTGACGCATTTAGCTAAGAGCTGCCAAAGGTACCTACTAAAACTTACTGGAAATTTTGGGTTAGTGTTCTCCGCGTTTGTCATTGCCACAACCGCAACTCCGGCATTAAACTTGCCCATATAGTTGACCACAATGGCCAGAAAGAGCAAGAAGGACTGCATATGACGCTGGCCGATCATCGGACCTGTTGAGTAAGACACTTAAGTGGGTCTGCCACTTCGAGGCACTTCACATCCTTTAAGGACCCTTTACCAACCCGTATTCGTTTCCGCCGTCATATCCGCACTGTTTATATGGAACCACACCCGCTAGAGATCGAAATGAAACTCAACTCCTAACCTGCAGCCAGCTCGCTTAACACCTCCGATTTTATTGAAGAGCTAATCGAACCGCCGTCACTCAAGTGATACCCGCTTAATGGGCACCAAATCAGGGCACTTTGCAAATACGATATTGATAAGCTATGGTGATAGCGCTTCCACTACGGACCACTGATAGGGTCAGCAGCTGGTGGGTGGGACGGCGCTCGAAATCCGGATGCGATACGCATTAAAGGGTATTGCATCAAGCAATCAGAGAACTTCGAAGACGTCATTGACTTTCCCGAACCGATTGTTGTCAGTCAAAGCCGTGTTATCTGCTGAGCCTCTTCAGTGGCCGAGGCTTTAGTTATATCTTATCATCGGCCAGTGCCAATTTCAATTATCTGGATCACGCCCGTGGGATCCTTCAGACTAGTGGCCCAGACTTTCAGCCCCAGCCCCTCCATAGCATGGGGCTATCAGAACATAAGCTGTGAAGCACCTCGACTGATAGCGAAAGTGTTCCATTTAACATGGGCGCCATGCACGAGCATCTTATCGAAATACGCTTCTACACACCTGATCTTCAACGGATAGCGACTTTGGAAAAAAACAATTGAACAAGGGCGGAAATCCCAGTAGTGCCACGCAGACTGGTTCGGTTCAGCTTGTACGAAGTACAAGCAACTGATAACGTTTCCAAACTTCTATATACTTGTACTTTATTGATCTATACTATACATATCGCTTAATCCGATCCCTCAGCGGCTCTCCTCCTCCTCCTCCTGCAGGCGTAGTATGTCCGCCTTGTTGATGAAATAATAGCTTGGCTGTCGTCCTTTAAGATCCTTGGCGGTCCGCTTGGCCCCGTTCTGAATCAAGATCCGACTTACGCTCTCCAGCGCATTGGTGCCCATGGCGTAATGCAGAACTGTGCGCTCCAACTGGAAACGCAACATGTTTAGGTGCTGAAGTTAAAGAGTTATTTTAGTTTAGGTTACTTACATTATCTGTGATTTTCAAAGCCTCGGGACAGATCTTCGCCAAGTGCTGAACCATTTCCTCTGACTCCTTCAGCACTGCTATGTGCAGGGCGGTTCGACCTTCAGTTGATTGGGATAGGCTTGAACAAATCTATTTAGCTTAGAATTTGCACTCTTACCGTAATAATTCTTGGTTCTTATCAACCACTTGACATTGGCAACATTGGTCAGCTCCACCACTCGCTCCATGTTGTTTTCCCTGATCATTTGGTGGAGCTCTTCGCGAGTTTCCTCCAATCCCCTAAGGTTGGCCAGGAACTCCCCAAGAGCCGCGTTCTGTCGGGCCTGCACCACATCTATTATAGACTGGCCATTCTCGTCCTCGATGTCCAAGATGTGATCGTAGCCTTGCAGAGCGAGTTGTTCGAATGGTTCGACGTCGCCTTTTTTGGAAAAGAATAGTTTATAGTTCAAATGAGCTACGAGGAAGGACATTGTATAACCACCTACCAATAACTGCCTGTGCCATGACATATCGATCTATCTCGCCCGCGTTGTTGGGCTGATTCGCTTGGAGCGAAACATCTCTAGCAGTTCGGTACAGCTCATCCCGGTACGTGATGTCGATGCCCGACTCCTCAATCAGGGTGTAGAGCGCTCCTCTCCGATGGGAGCGAGCACAGGCGAAGTGGAGCATACTTTGGCCGTGCTCATCCCGCTCCTCCATGTGCTGCACCGCCAGAGCTCCTTCCGCATCCTCCTCCTCGGCAACGGATCGGGCATCCCTCTCGATCAGATCCGCATTGGTGGGATCAGGACCATTGCGGGTGTTGCCCAATCTTTGGTTCGAGCTCGCATTCGACTTGGCCAATCCCAGGGTGGAGGTGGAACTGGTGCTGGCCTTGCTGCTCCCCGAGTGAACCTGGACCTCGGTCATTGGCTTGCGGTCGCCCATGAAGTGCTGCAGGTAGTTGGTCAGATAGGCAACGGGATCCCTGGGTCTCTTGTTGGCTATTTCGGTGAGGGCCTTGATCAATGGATCGGCGAGAGCTGGGAGAAAGAGTATTTACCAATTGTTGATTCGTTCTTAAGAGTCTCTTATTAGATAATCTAATCTGGATTGATCAATATTTTGGTGGGCCTATCCAACTAATGCTTTACTTAAAGTTTAAATATTTTTTCACAACTAGACTAGGCGCTTAAAATAGCACACCGTTTACAAATAAAACGCATTTAGCATATGAGCTTTACTTGGGCAAAGATAACCACTTTCTTATCTAAAATAAGCTGCCAACGGAATGTAGTTTAATTTTGTGTCACGTAACGAAAGCACCGCATTTCCTGAATACTTACAATCAGCCAGGTATTTTCCCTGCTCCGTCTTGAAGATGGGATTGGCCTGAAAGCTCACTGGCTG